GGAGCCAAGGGTCAAACTAGATGACCAAGGAGACCCCTTATGACTTGCTCTGTTTCTATGTTTCTAAGAGTGCCTGAAGCTGCTGAGCCGCCACCCACTCCAACACCCTGCCCAAAAATGGAAGGTTGGCCATGGGACGGTAGTTATCCAGCATCCTGGATCCAGGCCTGGCCTTTTTAGGAGTGGCCTAATTACAGCCTCCTTCAACGGGGCAGGGACCAGTCCCTCTCTCAGTGAGGCGCTGACAGCCTCCTGGACCCAGGGCCAAGCCACATCCACAGACCTCCCAACCAACTGAGTCGGGCATGTGGTTAATCAGACAGAGTCAAGCGCCTTGTCCACATCCTTGGGTCGCAACAGCAGAAACTCATCCAATGATGAAACATAAGATGGCGCTCTGGATACTTCCAAAGATTGATGTATACAAACAGCAGAGCCAAGCTCCTGGCGGATCCGAGTGATTTTCCCTTCAAAGTGCTGAGCAAATTCATCACAGCGAGCCATCGAGGGCTCTGGGGTCTCATCTGGTGAACCAGCTTGCAGAAGGCCCCGGACCACCCGAAATAACCCAGCTGGACGGCACTGTGAGGAAGCAAGAGAGGAGGCAAAGGAGTCACGCTTGTCCACTTTATTGCCACAGAAGAGGCTCGAGAGTGCCTCTTCGATCAGACTCGTCACGAGACTTCCTCCACCTGCGCTCCAGCCGGCTCCCTTCCCGGCTCATTGCCCTCAGCTCCTTGATATACCTGGGTGCAGCCGGGCTGGGTGGGAGGGGAGGGGGCACCTGGGCCGATCGTGTTGGTTGTCCGAGCCATTTCCCTATTCCAGAGGGTAACCTGGGCATCAGCAGGAGCGCCCACCCTATCAGCCGGATAATCCCCCAGAGTCCTTTGGAAGCCTTCGGGATCCATCAGACTCCGGGGGTGGGTCATCCTACTTGTCTCCCCACACTTGCGGAGGGGGAAAGGAGGTGACAAAACTTGACCAGGTCATGGTCCGACCATGGCAATGGGGTAGATGTTAACCCCACCACTATGGAACCGCCATCCACCTGCCCCGTCGAGAAACAAGAGTCCAGAGCGTGGCCTTCCTCATGTGCTGGCTTTAAGCACTGCTTGTTATCAAGGCTGTGGATTCCATATAATTCTCTATAAATGCCAGTTCGAATTTTAAGGGTGTGTTGTTTTTTAAAATAACCCAGTGCCTAGTGGGATGAATCAATTTAAAATCAGTCTTTCCTAACCTGGTGCTCTTAAAATGGCCACTGACTAAGGATGGTGGAACAGCAGACCAGCACATCCCGTGGCTCAGAAAAGCTGATTTGCACCAAAACAATTTTTTCTTAAAACCCAACTATAAAACCACAAGGATGAAAAAGCAATTTGCTTTCAGCTAGACAAAGCCATTAAAATCAATCATTTTAATCAAGTTTCCCTCATGTTTCCTGCAAGTGTCTGCCTCAGGAATCTTGCAATGCGATGTACACAGAGAAAAAGGTCATTGTTTTTCCTAGGATGGCCAGTGGAACATTCTGGGGAGGGGAAGACAGGGAACCACGAGCCAGTCGTGGCTGCGTGGCACTCCAGCGAACCTCCTTCACCCCAGTGAAAACCAGCAGCATCGCCACGGTTCCATTTGCTGGGGAGGAAATTATCCAAAGGTGCTTTTTCTCTCGTTTTCAGTCATTCCTCAAAGGGAGAGAAACAGTGCATTAGGGTAATCTGGAGGACTGCTCTTCACGTTAGGGGCAGCAAAGGAAAAAATGTCCAGATGATGGGAGAGTGTTATTTCTGTTTAGCCTTGTGCTTTTAGCTGTTCCACCCGTTTGCTTCATGCAAGCTGGCTGCAAACAAGCTGCCAGCAATTCAGCTCTGGCAAAGCAAGCCAGCCCAGGTCCTGCAGGGCCCCAGCCACTCCATTCACGCCCCCTTGGGACCACGCATGTCCTCAAAGGCAGCCTGCAGTCCAAGTCTAAACATTTCTGAGCTTGCAATGCGATTTGCAAAAGCCCCTCCCCAAAGAGAGCCTGCTTGGAAAGTAAGCACTAAAAATACACTTTTGTAAAACATAGAGACAGAGTGAGCCAGAAGGGTCTTTGGGGCCATCTAGTCTGACCCCTGGCTCCAGCCGGCTCCACTCATGCCATGCCCACCCTGTGCATGTCCAGTCTGTCCTTGAACACCCTCAGCAATGGGGCCTCAACCACCTCCCATGGAAGCCCATTCCATACCCTCAGGGTCCGAACCCTCAGGAAGTAATTCCTGGCACCCACCCTAAATCTTGGTTCCCTGAGCTTTGCTCCATTGGAATGCATCCTGCCCTCCACTGCAGGGGAGAAAAGGTCATGATCCACCTCCATGTGACACCCCCACACGTACCTGCATGTCGCCAACAGATCCCCTCTGAGTCTCCTCCTCTCCAAGCTAAAAAGACCCAGCTCCCTCAGCCTCTCCTCATACAGCTTCCTCTGCAAACCAGCCTCCATCCTAGTGGCCTTTGCTGCACCAATTCTTGCTATATCCCTCTTGTAATGAGGGGCCCGGAACTGAACACAGGACTCCAGCTGTGGGGGCACCAGAGCCAGAGAAAGTGGCAGTAACACCTCTCTCGATCTCGAAGCCACGCTTCTGGCTATGCAACCAAGGGTGGCATTCGCCCTCTTGACTGCTACTTCACACGGCTGACTCATGTTCAGCCTGCAGTCGACCAGCACCCCGAGGTCCCTTTCACAAGTGCTGCTCTCCAGCCACTTGTCACCTAACCTGTACTTATGACACCCATTCCTATGCCCCAAGTACAAGACCTTGCACTTATCCACACTGAACGCCATCCTGTTGTCTCCTGCCCACTGGACAGCAAAGAAAGATGCTTTAATCAATGGGAGAAAAGGGCTTGTGTTTCAATCACATACACAACTGATTTGCACTTTGGGGAGAATACAAATAAAAACGCATAAATGTTTGCGCATGCTAGCAATCCGACACGGACACGGCTCACAATGCAGAAAACCTCAGGAAGCTGGAGGTGCGACCCTTCGCACAGCCCTAGCAAAGAATGCTTCGGACCCACTGCAATCTTTCCTGTGCAGTGACGGATGCCTTCCCAGTGGACATCTGGGGATGTTATGCAGCAAATGTGTATTCAGAAGACACACCACCAATGCAAACAGCTGCGAGGTTGTGGTATCAGCCACAGAGGCCCTCCTCAATACAACACAATAGAGTCAATAGCTTGGAACCCAGCTTTCTTCTACAGAAGAGGCCTGGTGAGAGCTCTTTTTCTGTTTTCTTAAAACGCTGAAGCAAGTGACTATCGGTTCCTTTGAACAGCAGGTGTCCATCAAATCTAAGAACACTCAACCACACATGGAAGTAATCCTGAAAGATTCATTCAAGCACTTGTGTGCAGACGACAAAATACCAGCCAAGGGATTTTATAAAGGTATAAACCCACTTCGCCTCAAGTCAGATGTATATAAGCACTTCCAAAACGTGCCTGATTAGTCTACATTCAATACCGCCAGCTAAATGCTTCGTAACAATGGAAATGCACATCACAGTGGGCATCCCAACCTTGTCCTCCAGCACTCATGGCTCTGCATAATTTTTTGAACACTAGTGTTGCTTGTCTTTGGGGACATTATTCTACCCCATACATAGAACTGTGAGGCAAATGTCTCGTATGAAATGCTATTATTTGCCTAAAACAATAGCTCCCACCTCCATCAGCTTATAATCAGCAGAACAACAGATTTCAAGTTTCAGCTAGTATGGATCACTTGAAAGAAGAGTCTTTCCACTACTTTTTATCTTCCACTCTCTTTTTGGAATCAAAGCCAACACAGGTTTAAAGTTTCAACATTTCAGTGTTTGGGTATAAGACATTTTGGGCATGAGATATTTTGTACCCCAATACATTTACCTGGGTGGGGAAACAAAAGTGCCCCAGAGGCAAGAATCAATATATCCCTCAGGTATTTTATGCCCCAGGCATGCTTTGGTTTATAGAAAGAAAATATAAAAGGTGGGTGGCTGAAATTGGGGCATAAAATAAACACTTTATTTATTATCATATCCTAGAAGAATATATGCATGTACTAATTCCACAGGAAAGAAAAGCTTGAAGAGTAACAGCTTTCCAGGAAACATAACCACAAACCACATATAAACTTGAAGGAAACTGTGGTTTGTTTAAACTATGGTTAGAGAGAACAAGTGAGAAGAAAACCTTCATTTCAGAACACGGCATGTTCTCTCCGATCATAATTTAAGCAACCCATTGTTTCTCCCAAGTTTATATGTCATGAGAATCGTGGTTTAGTTTAACACTGGAAGCTAACATTTATTATTTCCTCCTTGTGGCTGCAAAAGAGGAACGACAGAGGACATGAAGCCTAAACACAAACCCTGGTATAAATGATTCAAACTGTATGATTATTATTACACTGCACTTACATCCACTCTGTTTTCATTCTCAGCACAACAACCCTGCAAGGTAGGTTAGGCTGTGAGTCCAGGACTGGCCAAACCTACCCGGTAAACACCATGGATGAGTGGGGACTAAAACCCAGATCTCCTGAGTCCCAGTCCTGCATTCCACACTGGCTTGCACATACCCCAAAAGAAATACAGAATTCCATTAGATTGTCTACCAGCGGCCATGTTGCCACTCTGACAGGAGATCAAACAGGCTTCAGAAGCAGCCAGGAAATACAGCCTGCAGACAAGCAATCCTGAACCCCCAGCTCCCTCTCTTGTCCCTTTAGCCCTCACCACAACAAAGGCTCACAAGTCCTCATCTAACACCCCGACTGGATGCTGCCACCAGAGCACAAGAGACAGACCCAGCTGTCTGCATCAGCACATGGAACTCTGAATGTCATTTCCTTGCAGAGAGCTTGAAGCTTTCGCAGCCACGGGCTGGAAAAAGCGCTCACCCAGCCAGAGAAACGATCAGGATGCGGCAGGCCAGCATCTCCGACCGGATGATTTGCTACTTACCACACAGCGCAATGACGTGGCTGCTGTCTTCATGGACAAACTTCCTGGTGACAGCTTCTTCCATGATTTGTTTCACCTGCAATTAAAAATAAAGAAAGCTGTAGGTGGAAATGGGTGTTCTGTGGCCATAAAAAAGCAGGAGGGAAACTGAGGTGACTGCCTGAGATCAAGGGGAATTATCTTGCTGCCAGCAGGCTAGGGATGGTGCAAAACGAGGCCAAATGGGGCAAAAAAAAATCCCAACTTCACATATTCATCTATACTTGGCCAGGAAGCGACCAAGAAAGAGTTCACGGTTAAGGCAGTCCACTCAGCCACCAGCAGTGAACCTGCTGTGAAAACGGCAGAGCTACCTCACAGGGTTGTTGTCGTGAATGCAAGAATAAGTGGGGAGAACTAGGGAAGCTACCTTGAGTTTCTTGGAAGGAAAAAAACGGGGCTGGATCAAAATGTAGTAATTGAATTAACACCACGTTGGGCATAATTAAGAAAGGAGCTGAGAAGAAAACTGGAAAGATCACACTCGTACAATTTGTTTATGGTGCAACTGCGGCAGGAATAGCGTGGATGGTTCCCGTTACCACAGCTAAAATGATCAAGGGAGTGGAATGACTCCTTCCATGGGGAAATCGGGGGGGGGGGTTACACCCCTTCCTGCCCCCCCTTTTTGCCTCCTCTTTGGAGAGGACACGGCATTGCTCAGTAGTTTCTACCCACACACACTTGCACTGCTCTAAGTCCCACCTTCCCCCGTATTTTCTTACCATAAACAGCTATCTGGGTTTCACCACAGTTCTTTCTTTGTAATATAAAAGTCTGCTTTAATTAGCAGTGTAAGCCGACAGCGCCCAGCTCGTTGTAACTTGTGTGGGCAAAGACACGTCTGTCCATTAGAGGTGTTCCAACGCTGTCTTTTTGGCTTCCTTCCCAGGGACAAAAACACACACAACTTTTTCCAAAGACGCTTTGCAGCAAAAATTGGAACTAGTGACCGATTGTTCAAAGAGCTTGCAACTAGTGACAGGCGACCATTTGGTTGGCCTCCTGGGTGTTTGCAATAAGAGCTTACCAAATTCTTTAGAAACATGATAAAGGAACTTGAGACTTTAAGAAAACAAATGCAGAGGGGAAAGCAAAACTGATGTATTAGTCCAACGCTTCTTAGAACAAAGTCTAAATGCACCCAAGACCAGATGAATGGGAAAGAAAAGCCAGTGTGGTGTAGTGGTTAAAAGCATGGGACTGGGACTCAGAGGATCTGGGTTCTAGTCCCCGCTCGGCCATGGAGCCAACTGGGTGACTTTGGGCCAGTCACAGACTCTCAGCCCAACCTACCTCACAGGGTTGTTGTTGTGGGGATAAGATGGAGGAGGAGAATGATGTAAGCTGCCTTGAGCCCTTTGTAGGAAAAAGGCAGGATATAAATCAGGGAGGGGAAAAAATGGGTACCGGAAGATGAAATTTTGATACTGATATTCCACAGCAGCAATATTTGAACAACAAATTAGCTTCCGGCACCCTCTCACTTCCCAGATGGATCAGAAAGCAAATCTAAAGAAGAGGATTTGGGAGTGGGGGTAGATATGTGGCCAGGTATGTGTGTGAATAAGAGAAAATGAAAGAGACAGAATGCTAAATTAAACAGACAAGTTCTTACAGGAAGAACTCTTGAAGGGCCAAAGTTGAAAGCTAAAGCGCTTCTCTCCTCGCCTGCTTTGAGCTACTTATCTATGGCTCACTGGGCCAAACACGATGCAAGGCCGGATTCCATGCCCAGATGCTCTTATCAGGAAAATCATTTATTTACAAAGTGCAGGCAGGGGCTACCATTCCTCACGGGACCAAAACAGTGCCATAAAAATGCAGAAGGCTTGAACAGCACACGGCTGGCTGGAAGTTGGGACAGAAGCACCGAACTGCAGCTTCTGGTTGCAGCGACGACCGGCTGCCTCAATTCAGATGGGGACCACAGTACTGGGGGAAGAGGCCTCTCCCATGCCAGGGATGCTATTTGTTCTGGAGACAGTGCTGGGGAACATGGACCAACGGGCAGCCTGGGACATTCTACTGCCTGAGATGCAGGACAAGCCAGCCGGAAGGTTCTTCAGCACCTGCTGCCCAGCCCAGGTGAGGTGAGGAGACCCACGGCAGGTCATGCCTTGCACATGCGTGCAAACGCTGTCCCCCGAGACCACACCAAGTCCCCCTCTCCACAGCACCAGCTGCTAGGATGGGTGCATCAGCCTGCCTCACAGCAGGGCCGGCCCTGGCCTGGCCTTCCTCCCTTTGGACTGCAACTCCCAGAATTCCCACCTAGCAGGGCCATTGACTGGGAATTCTGGGTGTTGCAGTCCAAATGCCTCTGCAGGCCCCCAGGTTGGGGGAGGCTGGGCTAGGTGAATGCAGGGCAGGGGGATGCGTATCCCCTGCCCAGGATCTCGTCTTCCAGTCTACATAATCTGGGTGAACTGTGCATGGGATTCAGGCTGCTGCGGGCCAGAAAAATGGCCTTTTTTGTGGTAGCTCCCACTTCGTGGATATTGCTCTGCAGACTGGTTCTTCTGGTGCTGTCCTTCGTAACTTTTAGGCCAAATTCCTGTCCTCTCATGCTTCTAATAACCTCTAAGGTCCTTTGTGTTTGCTGACAATTTATTTGCTAGCACACCGTGTATGTGAGAGAGAGAAGGGAACAGAAAGGACTTTCGAGTCCTTTCAGGTCATTAAATCCATCACAAATAAATAAAAGCATTCCACTGAGCCCAGGCTAAATTACCACCCATTTGGAAAGCTCAATTTCATTCCAAACACTGCTGTTCAACTACGACAACGACAACGTCAACAACAACGACAGAGACAGTTCAAGGGGAAATGACACTGGCCAGAATGTTAGCATCACCATGTCCAAACATTATTCCTAAACAAAATCGTCCTTGCACGCAGAAAAGTAGCCTGTTGGAGAGAAGGCTAGTTTTGAACCCCCTTCCCTGAGGTCTTAGCTTTCTAAAAGCAGGGAGTTTTGGATAACAGGAAGCATTTCATCACGGGGCCTATACCCAGCTGTTGAAGCAGAGCTGGCTGGAGCCAGGGGTCAGACTAGATGGCTTGGGAGACCCCCTCCTCACTCACTCTTTTTCTATGTTTTATGTTCATATATTGAGCCCTTGCAAGGCTGCCTTCTGAATTAGATGGAAGCCACCCTGGGAATCTTTTTGGCTGAGGAGTAATAAAAAATACCACCAGTAAATAAAGAAGCAGAGTATAACTCTTCCAAGCAAGCAAGGACTTCAGGCCATGCATAACTGTGCCATATAAGTTTTCTGAAGGGGGCCTTGATTGGCCAGATTATGGAAACTCTTCCCCAGAGAAGGTTCTTCTGTACCTAAAGCATCCATGACCCGGTTGCAGTCAAAGGTTGGAGCCACAGAACTACCAAGGAAAAGTCATAGTCCGGTGGCCATGGGTCTATGCGAACCTCACAGCCCGACAGCGCTGTCGAAAACATGAGATAACCGCTGCAAGAGTTCAGCTTGCCGTGCCTTTCCCAACCCCATCCAACATCTTCCCTGCCCAGATGTACTTTTCATGCCTTATTTCCAAGGTTCCTATCCCAGCCTTTCTGCAGCCCAAGAGGCAAAGAGCAAAATTACTCCTGAAGTTACAGGAGCTCCAGAACAAAACAAAAGTTACAGTAACTTGAGAAAAAAAATCTACTGAATTAAAAACATTTGCTGCCTGGCAGAAAAGAAGCAACAATGAAGCTTTTCATGAGAAGCTGTTGGAAATTCTTCCAACAAGGAGGGCTCCCATCTCTCTTTGGCTGACCAGAAGGAGAGAGCTAGTGAGAGGTTTTGGGAACACACGGCTTGATAGGAGAGGCGGGCAAGTTTTAAGATATCCAGGATCCGGGTCACTTATAGTTTCAGGAACAAAACCAGCACCTTGAATTGAGCCTGGAAAGAAATGGCTTACCTGGTCTGGAAACTTTAGGACTGCCAGGTGGTAAAAGTCACGTGAAAGTAGAAATTGCAACAGATTTAAAAAATTCTTACTGCCAATAGGATCAAGTTTCAGGATCCATCCCCCCAACCTAGGATGAAGAACGATCACCACACAATCATTCCTGTATGCCATCCAGAAATTGGCAGACCCAGTTCCAATCCAAAAGAAAAAGAAACCAACCAGCTGAAGAATGGCCCATTTTATGGTAGACTTACACAAACACACACAGACACACAGACACACACACACACACACAGTAACAATCATAGTAGGAAAGCAGTTGAGTCAAATTTTCAAGACGAAATCACAAGTGCACCTTTCTATTAAAGCCAAACCAATAAATTCCTTACCAGTGGGAATGGAAAGGCTGACAGAAAACCAAAAGCCAGAAAAGAATGTTTCCCAGGGACGATATTTGCAAAGGTTTGCCAGATATGGATCATTTGGGAGCACAGAAACGGCTTCCAATCTACCAAACAGATTGCTCAGAAATAGAACTCTCCATCACCAAGTTCCTGAATGGGCCCGTGGCTGTTTTAAGATCAAGCATGCTGTGCTGCTATTAAAGGGTCTGAGAATAAGTGGCACAAGGAGAGAGAAAACAGAAAGGAGGAGGAAAAACATAGGAACCGTTGGAACAATCCGATAGCAAGGGCATTAACTGGTATGCGTAGGATTGGCCGGGATTCTTCCAAAAGGCATTTTGGGGGGAGAACGGAGGGGTCGCAGATGCAGGTTGGTGCAGGTTGGGCATGGGGTGCCCCCCAGTCTTGGCCAGGGCCCCAGGGCCCTGGTGCCAAGACACCATTTTAAATGGAGTCCACTGGAAATTGTTGGCCCTTGGTCGGGGGCCTCTGGCCACTGCGTTTTCACAGTCTGCCTCGAAGGCCATGAAGGGCAGCCAAAATGGCAGCTCCTGGCTCAGAAGCAGCCAGGATGAACTCAGCATGAAGGCTCGGGGGCACTGGGGCTCAGCGGGGCTGGGGCAGGGGCACCGCCATGGCTGAACCCAATGGCCCTCTCCCCCCTTCCAACGCTGCCCTTCTAGGATTCAGTCCCACACGCAGAACATGACAGATTTCCAAAGTATTTCGGGAGGACTATTGTTTGAGGCAGCTTTCTCCAAGCTGGTCCCTTTGAGATGTGTTGGACTACAACTCCCAGCATGCCCAGCCTGCCAATGGCGGGACTGTCAGAGGTTGTTGGGAGGAGCAGGTCCACATGTCCAGAAGGGACCAGGTAGGGGACGGCTGATTTTGGTTCATCCTAGTCCTTCTTCCTAAAGAGCTGGGAGTCGGGGATGATGGGAATTGTAGGCAAGCACCATCTGCAGGGGTCCAGGTTGCCCACTTCTGTTTCAAGCATTGTGGTGCTAAATAAAGGGAGGCCCAGGCGGGAGGCCTTCTTATGTGAAACGTCATAAACTCCCCATACTTGGGGAGCGCGGATCTGGTAGGATCCAGGGTACAACAGCATCAGAACGCAAGGCAGTCCAAATCAGCCAAGTGGTACAGTCCCACCCAGCTCCAGGTTCAGGAGCTCTTGAAGAACAAACTGCACAAGGGAAATCCACAAATTTTCCACCCCGCATTGCTGAGTGGAAAAAAAATACCATCTGGTGAACTCGCATCAGCAGCTGGAGGGGATCTCACCCGCCACACAAAGGATGCATCGAAAGTACGCAATTTATGGCGACCAAGGGCTTAGATCAGCCCTCTGCAGCCTGGTGCCCCACAAATGCATCAGACTGCAACTCCCATCATGCCCAGCCTGTAAAGCCCTTGGCGGTCCCTCTTGCAACAGGTAGGAGGCTGTGCGAAGTTGGCTTAGATGGTCCTCAAAGGGGAGGAATCATGGAGGAGGAGGAGGAGGAAAAGGAAGATAAGTTGACCAATGGCAGCAAGACATTAAGGGGCTTCCAGGTTTCAAGGCAGTACAGAAATCAGCACAAATGGCAAGAAGAGACATTTGCAGCCCCCTTGAGAGCCTGCTTGAGAGCTTCTGAAAAGCCACCAAATGAAGGTCCGGCAGACTATTGGTCCAGTCTAGCAGAGCTCTGTTAAGGATGTTTTTGAAAATACGCCTCCTCCACCAAACATGGCAGTCCCTGCTAAATACTGAAATGTTGCTCTCACGCTAAGCAACACTTGGCTCCCCATCTTCTTGAGAGCTTACAGTGTGGGACAAGGAAAGAAAGGCGTCAGCCCACATAGATCACTTCCACCCAGCTAGAAATGGAAGCCTCTGACACAATCCCTTGACGATCCTCTCATACCAAAACCGAACACAGATTTTTCACCATTCACTCTTACCAACTCCTTGGTTCCCCAAAACCCAAACACAAGACCTGTGTCCATAACACACCTCTCCTCCATTGCTCTCTCTCCTCTCTCCCATACACAAGAGGGAACGTTTTGTTCCAAATGTTCTGACGGCCCCCACCTTTCCCCCTCCACTTCCCCCTCTCTTCCAGACTTGTAAAACAGTACATGGTTCTTTGAAGCTATAGACATGTTCCTGTACAAACACATTTATTTATTTATTTATTTATGAATGAATGAATGAATGAATATTTGTACGTCGTCCTTTGCAAGAGCCTCAGGACGGCTTACACAATAAAATACAAATATCTAACATAACAAACAAATTAACGACCCACTCTGGCTGCAATGAAAATATGATAACATTTAATATTAAAACGTATTAAAATATTGATTAAATAAAAAGGTCTTAACCTGGTGCTGAAAAATATATAATGACGGTGCCAGGCAGACCTCTCTGGGGAGCACATTCATTATCATTACTATTACTATTATTATTATGGAAAGGGGCAGATTCAAAGCCCTGTTCTTGATAATATACTCTATGACTGAAGTGCAAAAAGAAATCAAGAGTGAGAAAGCAAGTATTTCAGAGCACCGGTTGGGAATCCCTCTTAAAGAGGGATAAGGAGCAAAAGCTGTCCCTGAGGAATAAGATGCGCTCTGAAACTAAAGGAGTGCATGGATCCTCGAAATCGCAACCATTCGGAATCAACAAGGGGGACCAAGCTGCAACATAAGAGGTGCAGCGTTTGAAGCTCCTCTCCCTGCTGCTAGTGATCCAGGAAGCATTTCTTGAACCTTCAGAACTCACTGTCCTCGTTGGGCTTCCTTCCATAAAGTCTGTAGTTAATCTAAAGACTTCCGTGTGCTTTTGCAGGCTGGCTAAAAAAAGTGCCTTCCTCTTGTGTGTGTTTAGCATGCGCAGCCTGAAGATCGGAAAGAGGGAAATATTAATTTCTGGTGGAACGAGCCAGACAGAGTGTGAACATCGTAGTGCTGGGAATATCGGCAAAGGAAAGATATCTCTTATCTGTGAATATCTCCTCTCCTCGATCAGATTGCTAACTGTCCGTAAGCAGAATTCAAGTATTTATTTCTGAGATGTGACTTCATGAGCTTACGCCGCTAGGAATAAAAGAACCTTTGGCAGACCAGTCCCTTGACTCAGATTGGAGTCTAGGTACATATTGCATATGCGTTACATGCTCCAAGAGAGATTTCTGGTTCCTGCGAAACATAAGCCAAGAGACAGATGTATCAGCCACCCAAACACAATGCCTGGTTCTCCCAATTCCCCAGACTGAGGCCTGAAATGTTCAGACAGATAAATTGATAGGGTACAAAACTACCTGATGGCTTGAAAAGTCGTGAGGCCTGCTGCCTGTGCTCTCACGCTCTCGCTCTCGCTCTCTCAGTACGTGATTCTAGCATGAAATTTAAGATTCATTGAATAGAAGGGCTTCCAAATCTCTGAAGAGGTATTTCCCCTTGTCACCATTGCTCTCATAAACCGACACACAGAAGAGGAAATCCTCTTATAACACATTCTTAAGTTGGCATTCACGCTTCCTCCCTCCCTCTCTGACAAGATGGCATCCCCCCCCACACACAAACACAAAGAGAGAGAGATTTGAGGAGGAAAAAGGAGGAGGAGGAGGAGGAGGAGGAGGAGAAAAAAAAGAGCTCTCTCTGAATCAGTGCTGCCTGGGACACGTTTATGCATCTTCTCCAAAGGAAAAGGCACACACACCTTCCTTCTCATTCGCCTTCAGCATCCTCCTGTTATTCATATGCAAATTTATGCAGCTTTTAGTTAATTGATGGAGCAACACTTCCATGGTATAATCATCTAAGATTCATCCAGCCAGAGGGTGACATGAAACGCACCAGAGATGCAGAACTGAATAAACCTCTCATAGTTTTTGAATGAATTCTCCTGTGGTCCCCCCACCCACCCACCCTCCCCTAAACACACACACACACACACACACACACACACACACAGAAGCAAATACGGCAGGCAGGGCAGAAGCGCCTGCGTCACCAAGCCTCTGCAACTGGGAAGGAGTGGGCAGAGAGGGAGACAGGCTCAGCACAGAAATGAACCCAGGAGGCGACCCCAGAACCAGAGGAGGCTCACAAAAGAGGGATAACACAATTCAGGGCACAAGTCGCAGGCCGCATGGCTTGCCATTTGCACTTGTGTTGCTTCCCGCTTGTGTCTGGTGCTTGCTTTGGGTCCCAGTATTTGCACTACCATAATATATAATTTTGGGAACACTGTTGCCAAAGGCTCCCAGGCCCTGGGTGAGGGAGGAGCAGACTTGGAGCTTATGGGATCTACTCTGGGTTGCCTTTCTTAAACAGAACCCGGAGAGCCATCCAAGGAAAGGCGATTTTAAAGCTAGAACAGGTACTGAGTACCAGAACCGTACTAACACCCTGGTCCTTGCATGTAAACAGCACTCCCGCTTGCCCCAAGCTTTTTATTCCTTTCAGCGGATTTACTCTTATGTGTTTTTGGAGGGGGTCCATTTTGCAGTGCACCATCTTCCACCCTTGCCAGCTTCCTGGCAAATCACCCCGCAGTTCTTTTGCTTTGCTCACAAAACCATCGGCCACAACGTGTCCCTGGGCCAGGAGCAAAACTCTGGTGTGCTGCTCAAGCCAGATTCAACCCATGAATGATCAGGGCAGTGAGAGAGAAAAAAAACTTCCCCATCTGAGCCCTTGGAGTACTGAGGTCGAGGGCTCACAGCAGCCCTCCCCTGACACCCATAACTGCCATGCCCATCGAGAGCAGCAGCCAATTCCAAGGTGAACAGCACTCTGCACATGCTCACAAACGCTACTGGTTACAGCAAGATGTTAGAAAGACGACTTCTACTAGGCAGCACGTTGTGTAGTTCTGCCCCCCACCCCACCCCCGCTGGCAGGACCTTTCCCACTGCCTGCTGCTCCAGAGTCCATCCTTGGCGGAGAGAAGGTCCTCAGTTCAACCTTAGCACTTCCAGGTAGGCAGGAGAAAGTTTTCACCTGGCCCAGTGGCCTAAGGCAGGGCTGGAGTCCCCTTTCACTAGGGACCTGGACGTGGGGCTGGGGGCGTTGCTTGGCAGCTTCCATGCCCAAGTCCGCAAACCCAGAGCCCAATTTGAGCAGAGGAGGGTGGGCTTCCTAGCGTGGGAAAGGAAAAAGCTCTCCGCACATGCCCCAGGGCGGTGTCACCCACTACCACTCACATAACTGAGCTAGGGAGGCCTGCAGGGAAACAGATGCTGGAGCTGAAGCCCTGCATCAGCCCAGCCAGACCAGCTCCAAAGTAAATCCAATTCGGAGAACGGTCTACATCTTGCTGCGCACACACGAGCATTCCCCTGGGTCCCGTTCCGGCCAAACGGGCCAGTTGCCGCAAAATGCAAGGTGCTGCTGAAGAAGAGCACCTCTGAGCATGCACAGAGGGCTTTCTCTCCCCACCGAGCAGACACAAACGCTCTTTCTTACCGGTCCCCCTCCCTCCCTCCCCCCTCCCAGGACGAGGAGAAATCCCTCGGCCCGCAAGCGCCAGCGCCTCTCCGGGCGCGCAGCGGGGCCCCCCAAAACGCACCCGGCCCACCCCCCGCATCTTCGTGCGCGCGCAGGCTCTCCTCGCGAGGAGCGGCGCCGAGGAAGCCTGCGCGGGAGGCGGGCGGGGCGGCCGCCCCGGAGGCGCCCCAGGAGGGGCAGGTGGGGAGCAAGCGCCCCCGTGCCCCTTACCTCCTTCTTGACGTTCCACAGCAATTTCTCCTTCGCGGCGTCTTCGGAGCAGCTCATGGCGTGGCGTGGCGCGGCGCGGCGGGGCGGGGCAGGGCGCGGGGCACCTGCAGCCCTGGCCGGGGCGGAGGAGGCGGCGGCGGCGGGGACGGGACGGG